AGACGAGTGAGTGCTTGAGGAAAACTCGTGATCTTGATCATAATTGGGATATCTGATTATTTAAGTAATCAATGAATTAACCATTATCGGTGCAATTACTCCGATAATAACTAGGTATTATTATATGTGCCGCTGGACGGGAGGTGATGGGCGTGGCTTTTGACGTCATCATCATCATCATCCACGCAACACTGGCCGTGACTTGTAGTCGGGATTGCTACCTTAGGCGGGCAGAACGTGAAGGAACCACAGTAATCGATCAAAACAAAGTAGTCGATTACAACACTTTAGACGATGAATCAACCTATTCCAACCATTGTCCCAGCTGGAGCTCTGATTTAAGTAATTGACAGGTAACTAGAAGGACTGCACCCCCACCTGTTGTAGCAACTCAGCATCAATCGAGTAAATACAGTATGCAACGGGTCTACATTTTCTGCTTTCGAAAGCATAGTGTTGAGTGCATTATTTAATTGAACGATTGCGTAAATCATGGGGACTGTTTGACCACACTTCACTATACTTACGGGCCAGAGAAGCAGGGTAATACTCAACGCTGATGTTATCCGTGGCCGGGAAACGAACTCGGGCCGCAGATTTAATTTCAATATATGCAAACAACTTCGGCACCATTCCACCCTCAATATATGTGATGGGCTCAACGAGGTTTGGAGAGACAGAATTCTGTGTGGTGCTAATTTCTACAATGTTTATTTTTTTCTCGCAAGGTGAGAGAGTGCGATTTGATTATTATTTTCATTACTATTATTTAGTACAATCAGTTCTACTCACTTGGAAACTAAAATACGTATTGGTTTTGTAGTACTTTTAAAAAAAAAAATACATCATCTCGCATTGTTTTTGCCAGTTCCATATTTTAGCCATTCTTTTTTTGTTGTTTTCAGGCCAAATTGGCGAATCTTCTCTGACGGAATTTGTCACTTCACCGTAATGTAGCATATTTATCCCGATGTGGCTCCCACAGTCACTTTGACAAACATGTTTTCCATCAATTGCTGAGTGCAGTTGATTCTTCATAATGACTTAACATTATTCCAAAGATCTAATGGCCCATGCCGCATTAATTTAAATTGAACCTCTGTGTTACTGTTCATTTGAATTTAGTGTCAAGTAAGAATATCAAAAGGCGTGTTTCTGAACAAAACACAACGTTCCTTTTTGGTGCGTCGTTCTTGTTTCAAGTCAATTAAAATACAAAAACTCGACACGCCTTGTCGCCCCTCTACACGCTTCCTTTGAAGTGTATTCGTCTCCCTCATTCTCGCGTACATGCGATGCAACTTCATTTGCCAAGTGTGCTTGTGCCTGCAAGGGTTTGTGCAATGTCAAATTTTCAGTCTGTTCTTTCGCGACTACGTTCCAAAGGGCGGTATGTGACGTAGATGATATCAATCTGCTTTCATCTTTATACGTAAGCAAAAGAAAATGTTTCCCCTCTTTGTGACGGGAAAGTGTGGTGGTGCGCCTTATAACCTGACAAGTTGGTGTGTGTGTGTGTGATACTGATCACACATTTTGGGTGCGTCTTACTTTCTGGAGCATCTTTTAAGACGGGGAACACAGAACTCTGCCGCCAACAAAAAAAAACAGAAATGAGGCTGGGCCTATGCAATTGTATCGGACTTCAGAAATGTACAATGCGTTAAACTGACTAGCCCGTATGTATGTTGAACTTCTCTCGCACCGTACATAGCCAACCATGCTCATCGGAGGTGCGGGGGAAGGACAACAAACTAAACACCAAAATCAGTTCTAAAGAAATTAGTTTTCAAATGAGATGTGAAAAGGGCAAAGCTCCGGTGGTTTCCTGATATCGGAAGGAAGAGCGTTCCAGATGGCCGCAGAATCGCATCGGAAAGTGTGCACAGCAGTAACCGTCTTTGTTCGAGAGTCAGCCAAAAGCTGCTGCGAGGATGACCGAAGTTCACGTGATGGTTTATGCTCCTTGATGAGATCAGCGAGGTATTGTGGTTCATTTTTTTGGCAAACACTTTGTGTGCAATGAGCATGACCTTATAATGGATTTGTTCAGCAACAGGAAGTCAAGTTTGGCGAGCACTGGACGGACACGGTCGGATCTCGGATCTTGCAGTACCCGTCACGACACGTATTAAACCACCATAAATCACGAAGCCAAATCTGGCATGCACAATCCAATACGAAAGCTGTTACTGTGCCGGAATTAACCGGGAATTCCTGGCCCATGACACTTCTGTGCAGTGTGGAGACGTGGCTAACAACATGTCACCATTGCTTTGCGTGCTGTTACATTTTTGAGCTGCAGAAATGAGATTTAGATTTTTTTTGAGTGCCGCCTGAAAAACGCCCAACAAATATGTTGTTTTGTGGATAAACTGCAAATATAATAATCGATATGCATACAGTAAATACTTACACAGACAAACACACAGACACAGACACAGACACCCCGCATAGATTTAACAGACTGTTGGGGCAAGTGCTGTTAGCGAACACCTATGAAGGCCAACACGGCACACATGCGAATGGGTGGCCAGCACCACGCACGGTCTCCCCAGTGGCGATGTTTACCCACCACATCAGGTACTCATTTGAGGCTGAGTCTACCTAGGGGAGGCCCAGGACTGGTTCAGATAATATTCACTGCTGTTGTGCGTGAGCGGGAATCGAACTCGGATTGCCGGGTACGTAGTGCAGGACACAAACCGCTATGCCACCGCTCCCCATGCAGATACACATAGACATATACGTACATATACAGACAATAATGATACAATCATTATGCAGAGTCAAATTTGCATGAGAAAACAAGGAATTGCGAATGAGCCAATGTTGCTGATAAAAGCTAAATAAATAATATCTCCAAGTTAAAGGGAGCAGAACAACGTCAAAGGCATGAAAGTTTGACAGGCAAGGAATTAAATTAACTTTTACAGCAATGTCATTATTCATTAATATCTGTGCACTAATTATAATAAAGGGAGGAATGTAAAAATATTTCTTCGTAATAAAAAAAAATGCGTATAAAATATTCATTATATTATACATCTGAAAGTATTCCATGGTAACTACATCTTTTTAATTGTAAATTATTTTAGTGATGAACAGGATCACATTTCTGCTATATTTCTCTCGATGACGGATATATTTCTCAATTTTATTTTTTATGCATTGATCGTGACCCACATTTTAGGCCACTCGCAGCGGTGAATTCCTTAAATTTGAATTCCGATGTAAAAAAAAAAAAATCAATTCCTACTCAAATTTAGCACTCGGGTCATGTCATGAGATTATACAAATGTTCAAATTGGAACTCTGAGGCAACAATGGATCACTTCCGCACTTCTGAAGTCCAATAGAGTCTAATTACTCAGTCAAATTATCCACAATTAAAGCACACTGTTGGTATTCTCTCCTCACAGCGTCTGCGATATGTTTTAAGTATCAGAGCTGGAACAAGTCAAATTAAGTGCTTTTATCCGTGCAGTAATTGGTGACGGAGTCCAGACCATCAACTCCGTTGAAACGATGGTGTATATTGATTTAAAGCTTTCGTGACTGCAGGGATTAATATTCTTGGTTCTTTCGGTAAATTCACGTAGAAGGGAAACAATAAAATAATAGAAATATAAAACAATATAATTCTCACAACGTTTCGACTGCAACACAAGCAATCATCATCAGGTCCTGATGATGACTGCAACACAAGCACTCATCATCAGGTCCTGATGATGATTGCTTGTGTTGCAGTCGAAACGTCGTGAGAATTTTATTGTTTCATATTTTTTAAATTTTATTGTTTCCCTTCTACGTGACTTTACCGAAAGAACCAAGAAGACGGTGTATATTGTTTTTATTTAATTCCCCCCGCCTCTATCCATTTAGCAGTATAAATGGGTAAAACCACAGCGAATAGATCACAGGCCAGGGTAAAGTGTAAATGCTCCCACCTCTCCCAAGACATCCTGTCCAGCATGGAGAAGTAGGCCAAATGCCATCTTAGAGGGGATGTCTAGAGCTCTTGCCCACGAAGTTCCTTCTCCAAGCAGTGGCAAGAGTTTGCAATTGAACGGCTACACCCTCACTTTTGCTCGTTTTGTAAAAAACACAACTTTTGAAACATAAATAATCGAAGCATACTAATTATTAATAATATCATACTAATTATTAATAGTATTACTGTGCTTGTTTTGAGTCTCAAGACTCGATTGCAGGAGGGTCCTGCCAAGTTTTCACAGTAGAGGGGGGGGGGTGGGTGTGGGTAGGTGATTTTGCTCCGTGCTTTTATGTTGCTATATATAATCCCAATTGAGTAATTTGCAGGTAATATGTCAACATGTTTATTGAAATATATTAATAATATAAATTTATGCTGAGTGGCTGCTGCTGCTGTGTCATGTGCAGCTCTTTGAGATATTTGACGAAAATCGCTCTATACATGTAAATAGTATTATTAACAATGGATTGTTCACAACCATTTAGATTGATATGTATTTGGCTATGGGGATGAAACCAGAAAACCCATGCGTAACATGGGAGTGAGCGTTCAAACTCCACGCAGAAAGTCACCCGAGTAGATCATGGAAACCATACTCTCGGGTTCTTTCGGTAAAGTCACGTAGATAGAAAATAATAATAATAATAGAACACAACGTTTCGGTCGCAACACAAGCGTCCGTCATCAGGTGAGAAAGAATGATCTGCTGTTGTGGCTTTATATAGACACGGGAGGGGTTTTGCAGAGTAAAATTAGCATGTCAATGAGATTTAAATCTGACGGACGATTGTGTTGCGACCGAAACGTCACGTTCTATTATTATGATTTTTACTCACGCGACTTTACCGAAAGTTACCAGAGAGTATGGATTCCTGCAGTCACGACAGCGTCAAATCAACATTATATAATGGAAACCCATGGTCTTTCTTGCGTCACGGTACGAGTGTCTCCAATGTGCCACCCGCCCGCCACCCAGTGACTGTCGTCACAGCTCCCGCCTTACCTGCAGAGTGCGGCGGAGGGGCACAGATGAGCACCACTCCCTGGCCTTGTCGCACGGCCACCGTACCGCGATGCTTGGTGCGAAAGCTCTCCAGATCTGGCCCAGAGGGGATACACGGCCACAGTCAACGGTTTACTCGTGCTGCGGTGGCAATTCGCTGATGGATCTGGAGAGAGAAACCCGGCATCGCTGTATGATCCCAACGGAATAAGCAATTAATACTCCTCTGATTGCAGCGGCATAATGGGGGCCCGTGGACCGGTTCAAGCACCGCGGAAAGGACGCATTTCAACGTTGTTCAAGGTTAATAAAGCATTTTGGTAAGGAATTGGGAGGCTCAAGATAAAAAAAAAAAGTAAATCGGCAGCACAATTTTTTTTCAGCAGCTCCAGGGGATTTCTATCGTGCTGAAGTTATCGCCCGGGCACACCGAAGCAATTCTTGTGATGTGAATCTCCCACCAGACACGACAGCCGTTTTATGGTCGCCACCGCTTGGTTACTCGCGCCAAGTTTCACCGGCGATGATAAACCGCCAATGTCTTGTGCAACGACGCTTTGAGACTCCAGCTCGGGCTTAGTATTTAAATGTTTTTTTTGTTATTTTATTTGTATGCGTACACATGAGGCATCTCATTGAAGTGGTGACAATTACTATGTTGAAGAAAATTGGATGGTTTTATTAAATTGCGGAGGGTTTCTGTACGTTAAAGGAACGTGAACGCGTAAATCAATATTCTTGCCGGATCAAAAAACATTTTTTATCTACCTTATCTTGTTAGCGCCTTGTGAAGGATTGTTATCAATAAAAAAGCATCCACTGGGTTGAAAATTGGATTCTCCATAATGCGCAAGTTTATAGAGCAGACTGTCTAATTATTGGCTGTGGTGTTGTGAAACACAACTCCGGTTGAGAACTGTCGTCATTACCAATATTGCAGCCATGTTGAAGACAAGGAATGCTTAAATTGCAAACTTGCATTCGTTGTATGATATCAGTATTATCCGATTTTTTTTTATTTTATTCTTGAGCGTTATTTTTTATTTTCTCTCAGTGATATCCATTCAGAGCGACCCCCTGTGTGTCAAGAGAATGACCCGCTGAAAGTGGATATCAGAGAGCTACCTCTGAGATCCCTTCAAGTGGCCTCTTGACCTCTAGTCCACACGGTTTATTCATAGGGAGCTGCCCAGTTTCGAACCCAGGAATCATGGCAGGGCCAGGTCTGTGCTCTGAATTCTGAGCCACCCTCTCATCTCTTAACGCTTTGTTGCTTATAAAAAAACAAAAATCTGCCACGTTTGTAATCATAGATGATACCTACTAAGTGCATAATATAAAAACAAATACTTCCTCTAAAGTGCCTGACATCACAACATTAATTGTTCGTACATTATTTCTATGAAGAATTCAGTTAAAGGATTACACGAATATTGATGTCCGTGAAGGTTAATAATTTATTTCCAATGTATTTGTATTTAATCGTCAAATACGAGCAATTTAAAAGCAAACATATACCGAGTGGTGACATTCCCCTGATTATTTTTATTCACTAGTTTCAAACGTTGTCTTTTTTCCCAAGTATCTTTCGATTCCCTTTCCTGGTATCGTGTTACAAGATGAAGACATTTCAATCCGTAACCCTGCCAAGAAGCAGCACACCACTTACGTGCCAGCGAAGACGACAATGCAGAACTACTGCGACTGCAGCCACCCATTCCTCACACTTGTGGCACACTTAATATATACTACCCACAAATAGAACTTTGCATATTTCAATCAAACGAAAACGTCTTGATGTTTTTATTTTCTTTCTCCCGAGCTGGCATACGCTTTATCAAGCTTGAAAACAAATATATACTTTTTAGCCATTTCATGTTTTCGTGTATGTGTTGTTATGTTGTTGCCAATATCACGTGAAACTCTGGTGAAGAGAAAACGTCATGATGCTGGGTAAGTTTAAGAGCAAGGCAAGATATTGACTGGCTCACGAATGTTTCTAAAACATGCATATTGTAACTCATATCTCAATGCAAACAATCAATGTAATAGGTTAAACATATACATGAACATACGGGGTGGTGGCGGGTTTAATGACACATTCATATTTACGCAATCTCACTCATATGAACAAAACAGGACAGAGAAAGCACAAGTCAACCTTTCTTTCTAGATTTGAAGTTTCCATTGCAACACAAGCAATCATCATCTTGTGATGCAATGGAAACGTGATTTAATTTATTTTATATTTTATACCTACGTGACTTTACCGAAAGAACCAAAGAGTAAGTCAACCTTTGTTTATCGCCGCCATCCTTAATATACGTGTTGACGTGGACTCTGGGAGTCGGTGCGAGTGAACAAAATATCTGCCGTATTATCCACATTATAAGATGTACTTGCATTCCCCTGTATTCTAAAGTTGGAGTTTCATCTTCCTCTTCGCCCAGATTTGTATCAGCTTTACTGACTCCGGACACGAGTTTGGGGTGAGTCTTGTTTTCCGGAGCATCTCATAATGTGGAGATTAAGGCAAATATAACTACTGTATATATTTATAGTTTTTGTTACTGCCATTGGCAAACCAGCATGAGTCCATCAGCTCGCCACACTTGAGGACCGTAAGCGTGGTAGACTGCCCAGATTTGAATACGGATGCTGGCTCAGTGCTTCCAGAGAGTGTGATCCCCCTTTGCAACTAAGCGACCTCGGTGTACTGCCTTAACTTGACAGTCCACTGATGCTAGAGAGACGGGGATCCTTCAGGCACGTAGCAAGTTGTGTGGCTTCGCATAGACATCACGTCAACTGTATTGTGTGCAAGAAAATAAACCATTCCGATTACAGTGGCAACGAGGATGCCGAATGAATGTGTCACAGAAAATAATTATCAACAGCCGGAAAGCCTCGCCAGATCATCACCATCCATCTCAGTCTTGTGATGTTGCCTATACACAGGCTATTATTATTATTGATGTTGCTCCGTCTTTGTGGTGCTCATTCTCTTGAGCGTGCTCCCTACTTTGACTGCCATTTCATCAGCAGGTTCATCCAATGGCCGTCACTTATTTGCGGTGTATCCTGGTCCACATGATGTCTCTAAAATGTGTTCCTTCTCTGATCCATGTTTTCTTCCTTCTGTCTCTCAGTGTAATTTCCAGCATGGACCTCTCCATGATTCTCTGTATGTTGCGGCAGCCTTTGATCAATGTTCTTTGTCAGTGTGCATATTTTCTGATTCACGTGTTAGAGCCGGCAATGTAAAAAGTTGAGGAATTTGGTAGAATTACATAATTCAGAGAATACGGTATGCACACATATACATACATATTCGTACATATTAACTTAGAGATTTACGCTGCTATTGCATTTGTCTGTGACTGATTCACCAAATCCAAATGCAGCACACAGGGCAAATTCACGATGCTGAAGGCAGACAGGGATTCATCCAATTCGATTGGCCGATTTTAAAAGGTCAGGTGCACGCGACTACTGCATTCCCCTTACAATTTCACCTCTGTCCCACGGGGTTACTTTTGAAATCGGCCTTTTAATGAAAGAGCTGAAACAAACATTTTCAGAAGAAAAAAGAGGGGGTAAAAAGTGAACATATCCTCCGCCATCACGTACGACAAAGGGTAAATGGTTCAGCCCTATAATTGCCTGCTCACAACATCGCTGGCGGAAGAGCCTCCGCTACGGAAACCTCCGAAGGGCACTTCTTTCAAGGTATTCGGGCCTGCTCGTCCACGCCTGATAAAACTATTGTAAGAGGTGGGGAGCACACACACTTTACCCCACCACGTGCAGCTGCAGTGAACCCATTTACGCTGCTGGGTGGACAGAGGCGGGAGGGTGGTGGCGGAATTCAAGAAACTTGCACCGGTGTTTCAGAATCAGAATCTTTATTCAATCCTGGGGGAATCCAACGAGCTATGAAGCTCTCTTTCACAAATGTCAAGCTGCAATCGCCGCACCTAGCGATGGAATTGAACTGGCGAACTTGGGATTGTTGCAAGTCCAGTGCCCTAACTGCCGCGCCAATGTGGCAGCATCCCTCGCTTATTCGTACGCGTAAATGTGACGTTGCTTCAGGACACATTCCCCACCCTGTTTGCATGCGCTAAGCGCGCGTTCGTTCCCCGATCGAAATCGATCCTGAAGCTTTTCGCGCGAGTGCCAATTCCGTGCGAGCAACCGCCGAGCGCCACATCGTCCAGTTCTCTCACCGCCACTCCTTGGCAGCGTCTCGTGCAATGTGCATCACGTTGGGAAAGCATTCGTCCTTACGCGCGCCTATCGTGAAATGTAGAATCCAGATGAATCGACGAAATTTACGCATCGTTGCACCTCCATTGCTGCAGATGGAAAGTATCCGGCCAATATCCATCCTTCACGGGGTATTTACACTGTGTTTCTCCCAATTGACAGAAGGCTTTTTTGTTTAATAGAATGGCAACACGCACTCGCATTGCATCCTACCGCAACCAACTGCGAGCATTCCTATTTTACTCGTGGGCGGCGGCTGCTGCAGCAACAAGGGATTTGTCAAAAGTTCCGGCCGCCTTGAGCTACGGATCGATGCCAACAACCCCTGGCCAGATCGTGCATCTGCCCCGGCAACTAAGCAAAACTTCTGTTGTTGTTGTTGTTGTTGTTTGTTGTTCCTGCTGTTGTTCAGTACTCACAAGCAAACTGCAGGGAAGCCTCTCTGCTCCGCACGGTCCCCACGGCATTGGAGGCGAGGCAGTAGTAGGTGCCGGCGTCTTTCCCTTCGGCCGGGTGCGAGATCACGAGCCCCCCGCTCACGACGCCGTAGCGACCCCCCACAGACACCTCCGTGCCGTTTCTCATCCACCTGACAGACAAAGACAAATGCCTCCGAGTTAATATTTGTCCCCCCCTCCCCCACCCGTTGCCGAGCACAGGGACGAAGTCTCCCCAAAAATGCCAAGCTGCCCAGCAGCAATAACAGCACGGTCGGGGTGATATTTTGACGAGAGACAACACGTCCCTGGACACCTAATTGGTCAGCCATGAGGTCGCAGTTGTGTCTCCAAGCGGGCAGTGAATGGCTGCACTCTGGTTGTAAAGTAGCATTTGACGCACACTTGCATTATTGTTGGTGTGAACTATTTCCGCCTTTCCATGCTTAGCGCCTTGATAACGATTGTTTTAAGGGCGCTTTTATAAAAGTTAAGTGATTCTAATTATTACCACGACTATTAATTAAATGCATTATATAAAATGTTATCCGAGTTAATATCAGGCAACATTAAACGTCAAAGTGGCAATGGGTTTTTTTTTTACATGATGTGATGCATGGCATGATATTAGTCAATCGCCTGTTTTTTTGCTCAATAATTAACCCGTTTCAGTATTGTTAAACTGATAATCCTGAATGCAGAATAATGGCAGTTGCTGTAGCGATAGCTGCTGAATGGCATGGCATGGTGAAGAATTCATTCTTAACACGCTGCATGCACCACTCTCTTTACCGCACAGAGTATCTGAACGTACACATGCATTAACCAATAAAAACATTTGGTTAATCGGTTATAATTAGACTCAACTGAAATATCAGATAAAGTAACGACTAGCATGGAGCTGATATGTGTGCACGATCACCGACACCGTTTTGCCATTGCACAAGATCAAAAGTCGCGGTATTTGAGCAGATTTTGCGTCATATCCAGAGCTCAGCTCTTGAGCGAGAGCTGAGTAATTCCACTAGGAATGTCGTCAGCCATTCTGAAAAAAAAAAAGGATTTGGGATGATCTGACAGGTCAGCACATTGTCTTTCCCGGAAACATTTTGTACAACCTGTCCTCCGAGTATGGGGAGACACTGAAATCCCTCAAAAGGCATCGTTGTTAATGCACTCAGGGTATTTCACGTCTGGATGTTACACGTACTCAAGAAGTTACGAGCGGTGCCTTGTTAATGGCTGTGGATTGCTCCGTACAAAAGTGCTGCTTTAAGCCAAATTCGCTTCTGTCAACAAACTCAGATTATCCGTCGGCTCTTTTGAGCACTGGCAAGTTATGAAAACAGTCTCCTGGTGCGCACACGCCTCAAACATCTCGCATCCAAGAATTGTTTCCATCCGAATGCGCACTCGTTATGAATATTTAATCTCCAACGAAATGTGTTCCGTCGGCTCGGCCAGACTAATGGCTTATTTCATAAGGGATTCGATTTGTGTCAGTTTACCCAGCGTCAACACCCCGCCCCACTGCCCTCCAACAAGATCCAATTTTGTTTATTCTCCCTGCATGCCCCCCCCCCCCACCCCCTCACCCCCACCCATCCCACCCCCAAATCGTTATATTCCTGCAATAATTAAATAATGCCATCATTTTGAGCTTCTTCACTCCGTGTGATTTGTTTCCGTTTCGACGAACAAAATGGCCCACCTGGTTGCTATTATTTCAGCACCTGTTGGACGTGCTGTTCGAGTGGGAGGGCAAGCCGAGTTTGTATATATATATTTTGTTTAACTCGCCCTTGTTTGAATATGGAAATCACAGGAATTAGCTGGCAAAACTTATTTCAAAGCAAATCCAATTCCCCCACCCGCCCCAGCATGACTATCGCACATTGTCCGTGTGTGGCTGGGTGGCTGGATGGGTTGGTGGGTGATTTGGGTAGTTGGGTGGCTGGGCGAGTAGGAATGGGTGAGTGGGTGTGTGTGAGTGGCTGGGTGGGTTGGTATGGGTAGGTAGGAATAGGTGGGTGGATATGTGTGGGTGGGTATGGGTAGATAGGAATGGATGGGTGGGTATGTGTGGCTGGGTATGTGTGGAGGAGTGGCTGGGTGGGTGGGTACGGGTAGGTAGGAATGGGTGGGTGGGTATATGTGGGTGGGTATGGGTGGATGGTTGGATTAGTGGGTGGTTTGGGTGGGTGGGTGGCTGGCTTGAATGGTGGGTGGCTATGGATGGGTGGGTGGGGTGAACCTCTGCGGAGTCAGCATGTGTGAGAGAGCCCGGCGTCGGGTTCACTGGCTCAGAAAGCAAATCCCTTCCTCGGTATGCTGCGCTGGGCACTGCAACGCTGAGCTCGCTGTTCTGCAGACACTCGCCGTGTTCGGATTCCCACAGCAGTGGGTGCAAAGATCCAAGCCATTGTGTGTCGCTGTTGTCGCCACTGTCAGCACTCGCCACCTAATGAGTTCAATGAGCCGGTCTGCTGAACATTGCGCTAATAACGCAGGGCCTTCCGTAACATTAAACGCAACTCCGTGGACGGCGTTGGCATCGGCGAGGAAGGGAAGGTTGAAAATGCATGACTGGTCTTATCGAAACAAATATAAGACGAGGCTTTACCCTTTCTGGCAATAAAACAGGAGGTGTTAAGATGCTCAAGCACCAAATATATACCTTTTGCAAAGAATAGAGTTTGCATTAACCACACGTACTTGTAGCAAAACAAGTAAATAAACAAGCTCCGATAATATATGCCTTGTCTTTGAAACGGAATGGCCTACACCTTAGATAGCCTTCTTTATAGCCCAGTGTTAGACCACAGAACGCCAAAAGTACGAAGTCCACGCAAGTATCAAGGTATGAATAGCTTGGGTTGAGCAGTTATATCTATGGGATCATTATGATACTGGCAAAAAAGGAACTATAGCTATAACTGGTAGTTGTCATCGACTGTTGACAAAGGGGCCGCGGTGTTCTACAGACATTGTCATCATCAATAGTCGTGGTCAATCCACTGCTGTATGAAGTCATCCCCAAGTCACCACCACATCTCACAATCCTGCAATGTAATAATGCGCCTAGCACCTGAACATAAATTTACGTCATCACTCCAACTCCTCAGTGGACGTGCTCTCATTGATTCCGTTCTAAGGCAGTGTCCGTTGGTGTTGAAAGTGGGAAAGTTTTTCACCTTCTGTTTTGTACATTAGTTGTACAATGTGTTATGTACTTATGTGCGTGCAATACTCTATAGAATATCAACTATTGTATATTAATCTAACTGGCCAGGTGGCTCATTCGTAGAGCTAGTAGCTCATAATTAACGGGTTACGAGTTCAAGTTGTTGGTGACTCAGCTCATTATACCTCCAGGGTTAATTATAAAATTCAGTACCACTTTGTGGGGGAGGTCAACAACAGTTGCCCTTTGTAAGGGACTCATCCCCATCATAGGAATGTCGAATTTCCGTCACTGGCTCAGGGATGTGCACAGGAGATGAACACCCCCACAACACGTATGAACTCAGAAATGTTGTTCGTACAAGATTAAGGTAAAAAAAAATAAACCCTGCAATGACAATTGACGTATCCTCCAAGTAATAATGTACTCCGGGAGGTAAGGCGCATTGCCAACTTTGGCCTCGAAAATTCACGATAAAAAAAACCTGCGTCTCGGTATCAGTATCACAATCATAATATTTATTTTCATTGGAGGAATCCTATGAGCTACAAAGTTATTTTTCACAGATGTCCGGAGCATGCGGTCGTTGTAGAGTGTGTGATTCAGGAATATGTGTGAGAAATTCGCACCATCAAGCGTTGTAAGTGCAACGTCAAAAAAATGGCAAGTCTTAAACGTACAAAAAAAAAAGCTAAACCCACACGTATGACCACCGAGAGCTACATTTTTTTTTTTATCAGGACAAGAATTCAAGTATACAAAACAATTCTGCCATCACAATTAAGCTCACACCTTCACTGGCATTTTCCATCCGTCAATTTATCGAGCCCCTTCAATTGTCTCCCCTCACCTGTACGTGGGGGAAGGGTTCCCCTGTGCCTGGCAGCTGAAGACCACCTTCCTTTCCGTTGATTCCACCGAATACATCACGTCGCTGGGCTCTTCCACGAACACCGGCCCATGCTGCCGGTTGTCCTGGGCTGCAAAGGAAAAAAAAAAATGTAAAAACCGCACGCTGGTTCTACACGAAGCGTCCCCGCCTCCTGCCTCGAGGGTTCGGCTCGGTGCTTTTTTGTTGGCGATTTGGCGTCGAGCGGTGTCGTTTCGTCGGTCTCAGAAATCCGCCCCCCCCCCCGCCGAAGACTCAGTGCGCGAAGCAAACAGCGTCCAACTTCACGAGCGGAGTAGTTTCGTCTCGTCAGTCAGTCGACGTTTTCAAAGGGAAAGGGCGAAAATGTCAACGTGCAGAAACTTGCGACAATAAAAACGCGTGTTTGGCGCCGTGTGTCGAAGTGCACGCGGCATCATTCTGCGTCGTACGATGGTAATTAGGCAATTTACGATTATTATTTTTTTATTTTGACCTCAAACTTTCGTGACTGCAGTAATTCATATTATTTGGTTCTTACGGTAAAGTCACGTTGATAGAAAAAAAAAAAAAACATGATTTAAATTAAAACCATGACGACGACCGCTTGCATTACGATCGAAACGTCGTGGTTTTTATTTTTACTATTGTTATTATTATTAGTTTCTATCTACGTGACTTTACCGAAAGAACCAAATAATATATTTTTTTTATGTTGTAAATTTTAATTAATTGAGCTTGGAGGGAGGTACAAACTCTTCAGAGGTCACCTCAACATTGATTTAGCGCTACTACTATTACATCGGAGCGCATGGGGTCACATTGTTAGCTTATCACAAAGAGTATAAAATAATTTAAACAGTCCCCGCTCATGCCTCTGTGCCATTGATCCTTTGTGTCTTTTAGTTCTTCTAATTTTCTTCCCCACCCGTCTACCCATCCCCTCGTTATACCCTCATTTATGTTGTATCTTCTACGCATTTGCAAAAGGAAACTCCGCACCCATCTTCCGTGTATTTGACAGTCGCATTTCGGAAGTCGTGGCTTTTTGAAGCAATTATAAAATAATTTTTTTTTAAGTCAAGGCGCAGCCCCGCAATTGTTTGCTCATATCCACTGCTGGCGGAAGGAAACTCCACTAGCGGGAGCTCTAGAGAGCTCCGATCGAGGGATGTTTCGCCTGCTCTTCTACTGCTGGCCGGATGTCTTGCAAGAGGTGGGTGTACCCACACTTTATCGCACCACTCGCGAGCCTACCGATCGACTATCTGTGGTGGAAGCCACTTATACCGGCTGGGTGTGCGGAGATGGGGAGGCGGGATTTAATAAACGTTTTATCATTGCTTTAATTGCCTACCCGGGAGATCGAACCAGTAACGTCTAGATCGCAAAATCTAGTGTGCTCGCTATGACACCATGGCAAAATCACGTTTAGGCGATTGTTTAAACTAAAAATGATTGTCCTTAATGTGGAGGTGGCATGGTGACTCAGGTCAGAGCGATACAAGCAGCACCACTGATATTCTGAGCTTGGAACGTGGTTAGTCACCCGTGATTAAACTGGGCTTCTCAAGTGTAATGCGTTTATAATCACAGCCCAATGACCAATGACTACATGAAACGTCACATTCAATGTGTGTGGGTTTTTTTGTTGTTGTGTGTGCATAATTTCGTTCAATTCCAGCCCTAATAATGTACGACAAAAAATGGTTTATCATGTAGCAGGGGGTATGGGAAAGTGTGCCCCTGGTGTTTTCTAACAGAGGGCGGGGGTTTACACTACTCTGCAAGAGTCGCAATGAGGATTCTCCGTCTCACAACACGAGGCTGATAGCACAGTTGGAATATAATTGGAAAATTTTGAGAGGAGAACAAGTTCCAATTTGGTATAAAAAAAATCACTTTGAAGACGAATGCTGTGCAATATTAATCATTGCAGGAGAGGAAATGGAGAGCTCGGATGAGGCAGAGCGATAGCAAACATTCAAGGATCAATTTAACACGTAGGCTTTCGCGACCAATATTATCCATAATAGAGGTTTTTTGGGGGGGTAAGATCGCGTAAATATTATATTTATCTTCTATTTACGATATCTAACCCAAAACGTCTATATTATGGGTACAAGGATCAACCAAACACTTTGCAGAACAAGGTAGTGACACCTGATATTTATGTGTGCATATCTCATGATTATTTTCGCACAGATCATAATCTCAACAATGTCTGATCTCCTTTGTGACTATTGTAATAATTAACAAGCCAATTGGAAATTGGGCAAGAGGTACAGAGATGAGAGTGGAATAAAAGAAGAGTATCCATTATAGAGGTTTTGGGTTAGATCGCGTCAATATATAATTGTGTTGTTAAAACCCGCCACCACCCGACACAGCCAACTAGTAAGAGTTGTCACGTAAACAGAACGTGCCAATTCGTCACTAGTACATTTACCGGTGTGCTGTACTAGTGACGAATGTGCACGTTCTGTTTACGTGACAACCCTTACTAGTTTGCTGTGTTGGGTGGTGGCGGGTTTTAAGTACACATTAATATATTTACACGACCTAACCCAAAAAAAACCTGTGTTATGGATGATTTTGGTCGCGAAAGCCTCTCACGTGTTAAAGAGAAGAGTAAATGAATTCGTTATTCACCTTAATATAATATCTCAATAAACCTTTAAATTGGGATAATGCACATAATAATAATGACGTCAATCCACGATCGGATGAAGGCCTTCCCATGCCATATTGATAAGGTGAGTTTTGTTTGACCATACTTCACCACGCTGCTCAGCGCGGTTTGTATGCTGAACTTCTTTTGCACCGTACATAGCCAGCCGTGCAAATCTGAGGTTGCAGAGTAAAAAGGACAGCGGCACTAAATACAAAAAGCAGTTTTTTTAAGAAATTGAGCTCTCAATTTGTTCAAGGGACAGGGACGGGCCATCTGGGATCAACTACGATATTTCTCGCCACTGAGGATAGCCGTGGCCCGGGTATCCACGAGGTCGCTGGGATTCATGGTGCAGTCCGTTAACCACTGAGCACCACTGTTGGCCCCTTCATTATAGTACACTACATATATCTTAAGTATAAACAACTCACTATCGTTTACACGTCAGAAGGTTCCACGACGCTGGAACATTGCAACAACAATCAGCCTGCGGCTGCATCCCACTATTCAGAGCGAAAGTTGACAAAGAGAAAGTGTGGTAATTATTTAGTTTTAACATTGTGGTTTATCTTTAAACTGGATGTGCCGAATCCTCGCCCACCTCTGCAGCAGTTTGAAGACCTCAATTCTGAGGGTACGAGCGACTGACGTGGCCATGTGGTTTGAAGCTTTTCGTGACTGCAGGAATCCATACTCTTTGGTAAAGTCACGTAGGCAGAAAAAGAATAGATCACGACATTTAGATCGCAACACAAGCAATCGTCATCAGGTGGGACAACCACAGCAAGAAAAAAAGGTCGTGATCTATTATTTTTCTACCTACGTGACTTTACCGAAATAACCCAAGAGTCAGGCCATGTGGGTTAATTCGTTGAATTTTCAGAGTTGTTGCGAGTTTCTAATTTTTATGTAAACAAAACAAGTTGTTTACATTATTGTGTTTATATGTATCTGTGCTGAAGGTTGGGAATGTATATTGCAAAGTATATGGCAATTATTTTTGTATGAATTATCAAAATAAAATAATCCTTATAATTTTTTTAAGCAAGGCTCTGTGGTTTATTGGAAATATTCTTCGTGTATGGTATGCTTAAACCCCATCTCTTCTCCCTTCCCTATCTAACTCTTACTCTCTACCTCAGCCCCACAGCTACGACCAGGCTTACCCCTATCACTACCCCTACCCATATAACTACCCCTATAACTACCCCTATCACTACCCCTACCCCTATAACTACCCCTATCACTACCCTAACTCCTGTCATTACCCCTACCACTATAACTACCCCTATCACTACCCCTATCACTACCGTTATCACTACTCGCAGCCCACTTAATTTTTTTTCACTTTGAAGGTTTACAAAAAAAAACACGTTTTTTTAACCTTACTTTCACACCTTCTGCATTCGTTAGAGGAGTACACGTCAGATATGAGATTGGGTTATGACAGCAGCCTTACCTACAAGTTGACTAATGAAGGCCAGCAGGAAAGGGAGTTCAGTCTGTGGCATCATTCCGACTGATTTGCAGTGAAGGCAACGTCATACAAGTGCCAATTATTTTCTTGATTCTGGGAGTTCAAATCCTGCGGGGGTGTGGGAGAGGGTACAGGAGAAGCGGCATATTCCATCAGCATCGGCAAATTGAGCAAGCCAGACACACATTACAGGTAACATCAGGAGAAACAAAACAAAAACATGTTATTGAACGTTGCATATATCCTGAGGGTGTATGTGGCCACCCAATGTCATGTAACAGTGGCTTCCTGTCTAAGTGAGAATGGAGTTATGCTCATCTTTTCGGCCAATGGTGGAAGAGCTGGAGTATTATTTTATTTCCAAATGAAGCAAAGACAAAATTAACTTAAAATAGTGGGTGCTTTGTGCAGTCATTGGTGACCAGGCTGAGTCCATGAGCTCGCTGAGCTTGAGGACCCGGTTTAGTTATGGGTTGCTAAAACCTGCATTCCTGGACAGTATCTCAACTGTGCTGAGCTCAGTGCTGTACCCTTTGAGACCCGTACTCACCGTCTATGCAGAATGGTATTCTACAAAGTCACCTCCATCTAACGTCAAGCTAAGTCTTATCCGAATGTATAAATAACACACTACCGTACAAAAAAAAATCCCTTTTTCACTAGCATACACAAGCCAATCCAGCGTGGGCACTCGTGGGTACAGGGTGGGTTTTCCACTGGCTGTTCGCCGTGCTGATTTTGGAACAAAAATCGCGGCACGCTGGCCTCACAAGGCGTCTGAATCTTGCTCAGATCCAAGCAGGGCCGAGGGCAGTGCTCACAACGCTCTTATTTCGCTTGACGTCAGTCGGTGCGCCAACGACACCGCTTCACCTCATCCGTGGAAATCCCATCAGGCATTTTCCGTCATTTCGGCTGCCAGTCCGTTGTTAGTCTTGGCCATCTGCCACCATTCCATGTGCATCTTGTGCTATCCAATGTGCCTTTTCTTTGCTCAAGACTCATTATGACATCTCTCACAAGCATGTGAACTCTACTCCATATGTTCCTCGTATTGTCCTGCAGTGCAATTGAAAGCACTTCCCTGTGCTTCTTTGCAACGCTTCTCAGTGTCCGTTGCATACTCTTTGTCAATGCCTGGTGATTAAAATCGTTCTTATCTAGGTATGTTGGTATGTTACACTAGTATGTTGCTTTTCATTTTTTAGTTTAAAAGCAATCACGCTGTCAAGATGCTGTTGCTGTTTATTTTAACCCTGAGCCAAGCCTGTGTTGCTGTGTTAAGGGTTTGGGAGAATAATAAACATTTCCCTTTTTCCCAAAGGGGCTCTTAAGCCTTCTGTGCCACCTGTGCGTGGCTTTAAAACATTTAGCGGTGTTATTTTGCAAAGGAAGCGAAGCTTTCAGTGAGTTGATAATGCTGCATCCTTCACAACCAAAACGTGGCAGACAAAAAAATTCGCTTTGATTCAAGTTTCTGCCGTAATGTATTACTAAAATGAGGCATGCCTGGTGGTATGGCTATTATACTGAATACAAAAGCTCAAAACAAACAAAACGTTTGTCAATAACATTTTCCAAAATGGATATATATATACACAGATATATAGTGCAGGTGATTTTTTGGAAGTGGCCCTTCTTTCATCGTAGATAAATGTGTGTCTTTGCTATGCACAAGGGTTAGGGATAGCCGAGTACTCTGGATAGCCAAAGTAATATTACAGAACTGTCCCTTCCGATGCTAAATGCTTTCTGTTAACACACCCACAATTGCATGTGGGCTTATAGGCAACATTAATTGAAATTACCCTTTATCTCATAGCACAGGCTAAGCACCATTGCTCTAAAGGTCACCTGTTTTATATATATATATCCCATTTATGGTGGCGCTATTCACAATTGAGAAGAGTTTTTTTTTGTTATTGTGCTTCTACACGACTGCCAACTCAGTAAAAAATAAATAAACCATGAATGCACATTGTAATAAATACCCAAATAAATAATGTGGTTAATAAATTATTGTATGCTTTATTGGGTTGGGGGGAAAAAATGAGAATGAATGGGTGTGCTGTAATTTGGACAACACGATTGCTATTCATAGCTTATCCAGCTCTCTGTATTCATCAGTTTAAAAAAAAACATGATTTGTGATTTCGAATTTATGGATAGCAGTTTGGTGCATAACGGTGTGAAAATCTATTTTAAATGGCACTTGGGCAAAGGGAGCTGCATGCATGGGGACTGCAGTTCTAACAAAGTGCGAAGAGCAGCTCTGAAGGCTTAGGGGAATGTCAATAAATCAATGTTCTCCTTTCTCCACGCGGTTAAAAGGCATCTTCGCACAAACCACCTCCTCACGCTGCCGCTTGCCGTCGTCGCATCGAACAATCGGTTCATGACTTGAATTGTTGCCCGGTTCTAACGTAGGTTATGCAAGGGAGGTATTCGGGCGCTATTATCTTCAAACGTGGCGAATCTTTTGTCCAACAAGCTGATTCCAGCCAGTTCGGTTTTTAATCGGTCGGCTACATTTAACTCGCAAAAAAATGCTTCGTGGATGTAAAATCGTTGGAATCAAATGTATTAATAAATCTCCCATCAACAGGTAAATAAACGTACAATTTCAGGCAGTTGGTTGACAAGTTACTTAATTGTTCAGTGGAGTAAAACCAATTTCTATGTGACGTTATATATTCAAGATGCGACATTGTGTATGAGACATTACATACCATGCGTTTTAGATGACGTTAAAATATTTTAAATATATACATTCACCCCACGCTCGGGTATGTTTCTGCATAAATCTACACTAATGACTGCACATACACCCTCCAGGAAAATCCTCAAGGATACAATGGTAAGAGGTGCACAGTTAAGATGTAAAAATATACCTTGCAGTACTTAATTTTCCCTGTATCCACAGAGACGGCTAAGGATTGATGATGCCACTGGAATAACCTCAACGTGAACTGCAAGGTAAAAATTTATATCAGCTGCTGGCTCATACATGCACAGAATTTGCTCCAGAGATGCCAAGCAGCCAACTGAGAGTTGAATTTACCCCAAGGAGGACAAGTACAATATTTTAACAATGCCCTGTGCAAGTTTAATAAGACGGAGTGGTTTGGTACTACTGTTGCAGCGTCCTATTTCACACAAATTGCCAAAGAACCGCAGCAAAGTATTTTTGGGCAATAAACAGACATTTTTGAGAGTAAATGTGTGGGGGTTTTTTTGTGGGGTTTGGGCATATACGTGGAAAAAAAATTCCCCTTCACAATAAAAATGCAATGTGTATTAGTTTGATTAGTGCTGTGCATAAACACACGTGTATTTCCTGGGTACCAGAATTGAGAATCTTTTTTAAAAAATGTTACGAAGCATAAGACAATATGTATAATTATATGTAGAGCCAGTTATTATGTAGGAGATGGGGGAGAAACATTCCTCAAGAAATATATACTCACTATACTGATTTTATGTTTGTGGTGGGGGGAATTTGTAACTTTGATCTGCAAAAGGATACACATGCTAGAGGTTTCTTCCTGATACTCTGAGTTGGAAATGAGAGGCACTTTAAATACACTGGGCAGGGAGGAGGCAGGCCCCTGATGCACTAAATTGTGAAATATTATCTAGGAATCCAGATTTCCCCATACCATTTACCTAAGTAGATTCACCACTCAAATCCCATTATATAATATGTAAAAGTGATTTCCTGGTCAATTGACCAATGAGGCTGTTGCTCATCTCCTCTTTACAGCTCTGAGCCAGTGGTAGAAATTCCTCATTCCGATGTCTCTCATCGCTTTCTGATTGATCACAAGGCACTGCCTCTACCACCAAATATACTTACGAGCTACCTGGCTTGATTCAGTATTGCCAATTCTCATTATAATATTTTTTTCCCAAGGAAATTATTTGCTTGTTATTATTGCTATTATTTTACTGACGATGTAAACAGAATAATGCCAATTATTTACCCCTGAAAAATCTCACCGAGACTCGAAATATATATATTTTTTAAGGAGGGCCCTGTTTTGGGATGTTTGGCCAAATTTCGTGAATTTTTTTTGTAAGGAAACCAGAGTACGCGGAAACAAACCCACGGACATGAGGAGACGACACTGAACACTGCTAACCGCCTTGCAGGCCCAAGCCTACAATACCTGGAAAGCCCTGGAGAAATTACCTATCCAAGCATTAACCAGATTTTAAAATCAGATCTATTTAGGGCATGTTTGTTTTGAGCCATTATCTTCCTAAAATAAATAGTTTTGTCCCAGAATCGACAGTATTGCTGTATGTTTTCCTTTGTATTTGCGTGGCATTATCCATACCTCACGCGCTTTCTCGCAGCAGTCCGAAAAGATAACGTATGGAACCTTTAGCCACAGGAACCGTTTAATCACAATAATCATCAACCATGGCCAATCCGCTGCTGGATGAAGGCCTCCCTAAACCGGCGCCATCTCTCACGATCCTGCGAAGCGATAAGCCAGCGATCACCGAAACATGACCTGATTTCATCGCTCCATCTCCTCGTTGGAAGAAATTACATTTCGTGACTGCTGCTTCAATCTTACTCTAGATGATCGTCTATCATCCCTTCGACTGAGATGTTCTGCCCAGGCTCACTTTCCTTTTTTTATAAATACATATAAATGTTTCAATATTGTCATTCAAGAACCCAGAATACAAAAGTAGATTTCAAAAAGAGGGGAATAAAACAGCAGGTATTTTTCAACAAACTCGGCGTAATGCACCCTCAAAATTAGACATCGATCGAGGGTGTATGGGCTCGCTGCCCAAATGTGGGTAGGAGTTACGATCGGGCAAAGTATATTAAAATAAAAACTATTTTAATAAAAAAAAACATTTGTTTTATTTTATCAGGGAAGGCCCACTGAGCTATATAGCTCTTTTTCAGAAGTGACGTGGCCACAAATGATAGCTCTACGAAGTGGCTCATCAGGTGGAAATTTATAGCAGCCGAATAATCTAAACGAACCTTCATTCTAAATGTGGAGGGAAAACTGGAGGAACTGGAAAAAAAAAGCACGTGACCACGGGAAGAGACACGCACACTCCAAATATACTGGCTTCGG